AGTCCTTGACCCTCAGCAGCAAGCGCTTCAGGTCTTCCTCAGTTTCAGCAAGGAGGGTTGTATCATCTGCATAATGCAGATTGTTGATAGATCTTCCACCAATCCTGATGCCGCACTTCTCCTCCGAAGAACACACAGGTATGTCTTGGAGAAGGTACAGCCAGACTACTCCTTAGAGGCAAAGATGGCAAAATGTCATCTGACATATTTGGGAATGTTGTTAGGAGGGACCATTCCTTGGAAAGAGACATTATGCTTGAAAAGGTGAAAGGTCAGTGAAAAAGAAGATCATCATGAAATGGATTAACACACTGGCTGCTGCAATGGGTTAATATGTCAGAGACGATGAGTATGACACAGTATAGGACAGGGTTCAGATCTGTTGTTCATAGGTTCACTATCAGTGGTACTTGACTCGGGCACCTAACAGGAACATTGTACCCCAGTGTCCTCAGTGGGTCATGTCAGGAACATCATGTAAATTCATATTTTACTATGAGCATTCAGAAAGTCATTTCTTTCCAATGGCTTAGAGCCAAAATCCAAACATGTATGGTGTTGAACCTAATCAAAGCAGACAGGGAAAATAGATAGGAAATAGACCACATTCAGCAAATATTTGAGTAGCTATTTCTTGCTAGGCACCATACTGTGCAGATGAGAAGTATAACCAAGCATGGTTACACAAACTGGTGCCAAGGCTCTGGCCTCTGTGTGACTGAGGTCTAGCAAGCACAGAAGAGGTTAGGGCTCACTTCAGAAAGTCCAAATCACGGCTTTTCATGCAAATGCAATATGAACATATCAAAGATATTATTCAAGCCACTAGTAAACAAGGGAAGTAGTATGATGTTCAGATCTGTCCAAAAAAATTGGAGGAATTAACTATTTACAAGAATGTGCAAAAGGAGTTGACTTAAGGTTGGTGGTTTAGCCGCAAAACTAATGTTCTCTAGAGAAATAAACCATCAACTTCGATTATTTTGTTTCCTGCCAAACAGGAATTATTTGCCTCTCCAACAAACAAACATCCACAACTGAGAATGTAACATCAGAAATCTTAAAGAACAAGAAATAATGAATTGAGGAAAGTACATTATCCTCAATCATTCCTAAGTGGATGTTTTGCTCTCATGTGAATTTGAAAGAATGTTCTGTCCACCTATTTGTGTTAATTCCCCAATTTTTTTCCGAGTTAAATGGTGATGAGATCTGTGGACTAGAGAAGAGATATTCTTAGGAAAGGGGGCAGCTATATCACTCTCACAACACTGAGTCCATTAAGACTCACATCAGCCCTCCGGTGGATTTCTGAAACTATGGGTCATTATAGGAAAAGACTGCCTTACTCCCTGGAAGAGCCTGATGGATTCAAACTGTTGACCTTTCTGTTAACATCCAGCATGTAACTTTTGTGTCTTAATTTGAACACAATGTTTAAGGGATGCTACAAAATTTAGTATTGGGATAAATAAAATTTTATAGTATTGTTTTAAGAAAATAGTACTTTACGTATCACCAGGGTCCCTTGGCAGTTTCATAGTTATACACAAGTATGACCAACATCTATATAATCAGAAACATCCCTACCCCCTTTTATTCCTCATAGGGCACTCTGGCAACATAGTCTGTAGGTAGTTGATCTGTTAACCCCAGGGCCACATTCTTTGGTGGTTTGAATCAATCAGCAGCTCCTGGGGGGAGGGAAGGAGTAAGACAGAAGTTCTCCTACTGTGAAATTTAGTACCTTAATAGAGGGTCAGCAATGAATCAGTTTTGACTCAACAGCCAGAAAGATTTTATTTCTCATAAAAATCTTATTTAGGAGTACTGGTGGAGAAGCGCATAATGTATATGGCTAATAACCAAATACAGATTGAAGCTCAATATCAAGAAAACAAAGATTCTCACCACTGGGCTGACATACCTACCCCCATTGCCCTAGTTACCACTGCCAAATGGCAGCACCATAATGGATGGAGAAGTGACTGAGGTTTTTAACAATTTCATCTTGTTTAGTTCCATAATCAACACTCTTGGCATCACTATCAGGAAATAAAAAAAAAGAGTTGCATTAGGGAAATCTACTGTCAAAGATCTCTCTAAAGTGCTGAAGAGCGATAATGTCAGTCTAGAGACTAAAGTGCCTCTGATGTAGGCCATGGTCTTCTAGATTGCTTCCTATGCATCTGAGAGCAGGACAATGACTAAGGATGACAGAAGAATTGATGTCTTTGAGTTATGGTGCTAGGGAAGAGTATTGGACACACCATGGACCGCCAAGAGAACAAACAAGTCTATTTTGGAGAGGGTGAAA